GCCTGGCTGCGCTGCTCTCCCTGGCTGCCCTCCCTGCCTCTCCATCGTAAGGCAATGGTCCGTACCCTCACACAATTTTGCATTTAAAGACACCGGTAAGGGATCTACAAGTGAAAAGCAGAGGCTACTTGTCAGTCAGCCAAGTACATCTGTGATTGTTTGCCCATTCTCAACGTGAGGTGTAGCTCAGAGGAACAATGAGCCTGTGTTTAAATGAAGTCATTCGGGGGGGGTGGGGGGAGGGAGAGGGGGGGATGACATTTCACCTGTTTACGCTGCTTCCAACAGCCCGTATTTTCCCCAGGTAACGCAGAAGCACTTTGGCATAGCAGCAGCGAGGCTAACCTTTAAGCGGTTTAACCTTTCCCAGCCTCTTTGTATTCACAGTGCCATAAAGGGAATAAATAAGAGAGAAAGCGGATGGAAAAGTTGCGCTCACAAGATCAAATATTTATAAAAGATTCGTGATTAACATTAAGTTCTCTCCAGAACCTTCTATTCCGAGCATTTTTATTTTGATCAATCGTTGGGAGTTCGACGACCCCATTTTTTTGGAGTGGGTTGGGGGAGAAGGAGGGGGAATCTGGCTGAGGATAGAGACTGAGTTCCCGTTAGGGAGATGAATCCTCAGTGACTCGCTCACAGCGAGGGAAGGCTGCAGCAATAATCGGTAACCGTTCAACGCAATGGCAACACACAAACCCATCTGAAAGAGATAGGAGCAGACAAACGTGAGGGGGGGGGGTGGTGGGCGCGGAGGAGGTGAGACGCGCTCTTTAACTCAGTAATAGGACTGATCACACGGGGCTGGCTGTCAGATCTCCCGTTCACCCCCTTCGCTTATTGGCTGGTGCCAACCTTTCATGAACGCTTCCTCTGTTCCCTGGTTCTCCCACCGGCCGCGATTGCTTTTTAAGCCCCTTTCATCGCCAATGGCAACACCTTTGTTCCGCGCCGGATTACTGAGAGACAGATTCTTGGCTCGGGGCTGCATTGTTCCCCGGCTCCTGTGATACAGGCTTGGGAACCGGCTCCCGCTCACACCGAGACGTGTCTCGGCCAAAGAAAAGGCAGAAAGAAAAAGCCCACGGAAAGAAAAAAAAAGAGAAATCAAAAGTACCGGATCTCTGCGGCTTCCAGTTTCTTTCAAGTCAAGTCTGGCCGCAGACCCTCCAAAGCTGTCACTGCCCAACATCACTTAACCTCGTCTCTCAGTCGCCAGCTCTGTAACTTTTCCCCTTCCCTCTCTCTCTCTCTCTCCTCCGCACCCTCTCTCTCTCTCCCTCCCACCACTCTTTCTCTCTTTCTCTCCCTTCTCTCTCTCTCTCTTTCTCTCCCTCCCCCCACTCTTTTCTCTCTCTCTCTCTCTCTCCCTCCCCCCCCCCCTCTCTCTCTCTCTGTCTCCCTCCAATTTTCTCCCCTTCTCTCCTGAAGGCACTGACTTGTGCTGAGGACCATCACTGAAATTATGGACAGTGACCGCAGTCCACCCACCCCCCCCCCCCCCAGTTTCCATACACACGAACACTAGAGAGGCTTGTCCGTTGCTCTTAACAACAACAACTTGCACTTATATAGCGCGCTTCACGCAGGGTAGCTTCCCAGAGCACTTGACAGTGACGGAGACCGACACTGAGTCGGGTGGGGGGAGGGAAGGGGTAGGTGAGAACAGGAGAGTGGGACTGATTGGGTAGCTTTTCCAAAGAGCCAGTACAGGCACGATGGGCCAAATGGCCTCCTCCCGTGCCGTAACATTCTATGTTTCTGCATGAGGAGTTTTTGAGTTGTTTCCAAGAAGGTAACGCTGGCCGTCTTGCTCGGACTCCATTAATCTCCCACCCGTCCCCTTGCCAGCTCCTTCATGAGCAGCACGGAGTCTGGCTAAGGTTGACGGTTCCACGATGTTAAGTGCACGGCGACGGGGAGCTGGCACTGAGACAGACATCGACGTCACAGGGTGAAACCCTTTTACACTGAGCGAACCTGATCTATACGCCGCTTGGCACCCGAGGCTTTGTTGTGTGCGCTCTCTGCACATGGTGACTCTCACTGGAAGCGTTCACCCTGTGTGTCCGTCACACTTGTAAGAGCTGATCCTGTGATCACTGTACGTACACAAGAGGGGACAGTGTGACCTTTCTTTTGTGTGCTGACCGTGTGTGAGAGACAATAGTATGGCCTTTTACCCCGTGTCATTGTCCAGGTGGACCAGGGATGTGAGCAGGTGGCAGTAAGTGGAGAATTCTGACAGCGCTGTCTTTATTTTGACTCACTGGTCGCGCCTTAGAGGTACAGACACATTTAGATTGTCAGTAGTACTAGACGTTCCAAATGCAAGTGATCGGCAGTATCGGAAAATGGAGAATTATCGTTGGTCATTGTTTAACACAAGTATTTATGTCAAAGTGAAGTGTGTGGAAACCAATGGTCCCTCGTCAAATTTGTAGTTTGAATTGGAGCAGGCAGTGGGTCAGTGTCTTGAATTACACAGAGTGATTTAATAATAATAATAATCCTTTTGTTTGATATAACGCCTTATCACGTCTTCGAGACGTCTCAGGGCACTTCACAGAATATACTGTAAAGTGAATTGACTGTATATTTTGTTGGCAAAATGCAGCAGCCAATTGATTTGCCACAGAAACAGGCCATTTGACCCAACTAGTCTGTGCCGGTATTTGTACTCCACACGAGCCCCCTCTCCTATACCTCTCTATTCCCTTCTCCCTTATGTATATAATACATAATAATCCTTGCAGTTGTTTGGTCCTGTTTGTTCCCCGTTGCTCTCCATCCCCACTCCCCCACCCCTCCTGTCACTGGAAAGTGCTCATGCTTAGACATTGGGAATAGCTCAGCTGTGTTGCCTTCCATGGTCATCACTGGGTGTCTGCCTGACGCTGGGTGTCTGCCTGACGTGGTATGGCTGTGCCATCACACATGCCATATGGCGACTTTAGGCAAGAACTCTTTCTCAGCACAAGTCGCGAACTTCAGGAGGGAAAATAACCGTAAACAAAACGGCCTGAGTGCTGTTCCTGTGCTCAAATCCCAGTGTCCAGCGCAAGGTTGTTCGCAGGACCCAGCAGGAGCCAGCCTTTAGTCCTGGGGTCGATTGTTTCCTGCTGCAGACTCGATTGATGTTGATTTCCCGTGGTCTGTGACTGAGTTCCTCAATATTGTTTCCTGTTAACTCGGGCTGTGCCAGAAGCCCAGGCATATTAACCGACCTCGGTTTATCCCTCTGGCTCTCTTTGGTTTGAAATATTCCACCAGAATCGCAGAATTGTAGATGTTTGCAGCGCAGAAGGAGGCCATTCGGCCCTTTGCTGGCAGAGCGTTCCATGTCCCAACAACAAATGTCTCCTTTCGTGCTTCTTGTGACTATCTTATAACTATGTCCCTCTAGTCATTGACTCCCCTACCAATGCAAATAGCTGTTCCCTATTTCCCCTGTTAAAACTCCTCATCGTTTTGTAACCTCCAACCTTTTGCATCTGTCCGATTCACTTCCAAGGTTTACAGGCTCGAAGAGATTTATAGGTGAGGGTGAGGATGTTGAAGTTGGGGTCAAAGGCCTAAAAAAATGCCAATGCAACTAATCTCAAAGAAAGATTGATAATAATCATTTACAAAAAGAAGATACGTGTTTACTACTCAGTCAACAGCTTGTGTTTCTCCAAATTACACTGAATGCTGGCAGTGCCCTTAGACCCAAGCTCGCTTTCTAAGCAGCCAACAATAAATAAAGCGTAATTAGAATGACTACAACCCAGCGTGTTAAACTGTGTGATTCTCACGCTATTTATTCCAGTCTCTGTTGAGGCCACTTTCTCTGACCTCCCTCACTCCCTGCCTGCCCCCACCCACCCCCCTCGCACACACACACACACACACACACACAGTGTTCCAGTGATCATTTTGAATAGTGACCAATTAATTCATCTATTGTTGTGGCTCAGCTAAGCTTCACAGTTCAAAGGAGTCGCACAATTAATTATCCTTTCCTAAAGCTCCCTCACTCTGCCCTAATGACCTGCTTCAACCCGAGCTTCCTAAGTGAGCGTCCAACTGCAGTAGTGTAATAGATTTCTTTCCACCAGACAAAAATTGGCTTCCCTGCAGTGAAATTGCCATGGCAAGACCACAAGATCAGTTTGGATGGAGAAGGTCCTTCGGCCCATCTGATCTCATCTTTACAGAGTCCACCCCATTGTCCTCTCCTCACATAGACATGGATATTCTTCATTATAATAATAATAATCCTTGCGTTTGATATGGCACCTTATCTCGTCGTTGAGACATCTCAAAACGCTTCACAGAATATACTATAAAATGGCTGTGTATTTTGTGGCAAAATGATGTGGAGATGCACAAACCTAGAGATACACAAACCCAGAGAGACACAGAGACACATAGACACAGAGGTTTGTGGGCGACTCTGGACAGCAGGTGTGAGAAGGTTACTGGGGGTGGGGGTTGTCCACTCCCCTACTTTGTACTTTGCCAGCCTGGCTCGGTTGGTAACACTCACCTCTGAATCAGACCCACATCAGGACTTTCACCTCACATAAGTCTAAGCTAGCGCTCCACTGCAGTGCTGGGGGTGTGCTGCGTTGTTGGAGGTGCCGTCCTTCGGATGAGATGTTAACCAAGGTTCTGCAATATATTGTAAAGTGGATTGACTGGCCATTTTGTGGGGAAAACGCAGCAGCCATTTGCACACAGCAGTGTCCCACGAACAGTTGTGGACAGAATTATGATGCTTTTGAAGGGATTATTACCCCGGGAAAGCGATCTGCTATTCGACTAACAACAGGGTCCTTGCTTACTGCTGGGTAAACAGAGGCATGTGTGTGGAGTGAGGAAACTTGCCTAGGGTTTCGCCCTGCCCGGGGAATCGAACCCAGGTCCTCTGGTTTGCATGGCGAGCTCTCTTAACCATTATGCTACCATAACACAGCTGGATTTACCTCCGATGTGTTCTCTCTCTCTCTTAGCTTTCCCCGCAGCAGCGTATGGACCGGTGGCGGCAGCAGCAGCAGCAGCGAGAGGATCAGGTAGGGGGGCCCGTGGAAGAGGCGGCTACTTGGCATACCCTCAGAATACAGGGGCAGGTAAAGCTCTGTCGGTATTCCTTGTGGCTGCAGCTATCCATCACTTCTCTTTACTACGATTCTTCGCACCTCTTCCTGGGGGGGGGGAGCCTGTCACTACAAGCAGAGGCCAAGTCTGGCCTGGAGCACATAAAGAGGTGGGGCTGTTTTGAGACCGGTGGTTCAAGCGACCTCTTAACAAGGGAAGCGTAGAGTGCTCTAGTGTGTTGCGAGAGAAAGAGGCAGAACAGACGGACAGGGAGAGGGGCAGAGGGAGGCTTAAGATGTCCTTCGAAACGCGTTCCATGCAAACCGGCACTGCTTGCAGGGCTGCAAAGGATTCTCTCTCCCAGATCGCGTGTGGTGTGGGTTTGACCGGGCAGGGCATGTTCTGATCCTGAGGGGGGCAATGCGCCAACTCCGCTAGCTGGGACTCCCTGAATTTGGTCGCTTTTTTGTGGGGGGGGCCTAAAACAAAAGCAGTGGAAATGGTTTTGAGGAAACAATTATCGCGTTTATAATTGCTGTCCCCTTCCTCAAGTTCTTCATTTAAAAGCTGCTTTCCCCCCCTCTCCCCTCCCCCACTCCTCCTTTCCCCCTCAGTCCCCTCATTTTTTTTACCCTCCCCCTACCCCATTTTCTCCATCTCCCCTTTGTCACTTTCCCTCCTTCCCTCCCTTTATCCACCTTCCTCCTCTCGCTCCTTCCCATCTTTCCCATTGCCCCCCCCTCCCCCTCCTCACTTTCCTTCCATCCCTTTAATCCCATTTCCCCCCCAATACTCACTTCATCCCCACTCCCCCTTCCCCCCCCCCCGCCTCCCCCAGCCCCTCATCTCCCGTACCGTTCCCCTTCTCTCTTCACCCTAACTAGCTGCCTCAGCACATTGCCCCTCAGAGAGAATGTCCAGAGTAGATTTGAGAATTTTGGTTTAATGAAAAGTGCTTTTCGTGCCACTTGAAGTCAGAACTGAAGCTTTGAACAGTTCTGTGCCTGAAATCATTAAGCTTTATCTTGGGTGTTAATAACTTCTTCTTTGCAATAAACCAAATTGAATTGAAATTAACAGCGCTCTGGCTGGCAGGTTTGAAGGACAAGCTCTGAGTCCTAACGTGTTCTGGGTGCCAACCTATCGACAAAATCCCTTGCAAAGGGCCACGTGAAACTGGGAGCTCATTGCCAAAACTCCAAAGATAGATCCGCGATGCGTCTGAGCAGGTGTTTTCTGTCACTGAAATATTTTTGGAGGCCGTTTTAAACTCTATTGAAAAGGGGTTCGCTATGTCCACAGCCAAAGGCAACCTGCCCCTTGGTTTGTGTCACCACACATCCAGTGCCTTGCAGGTAACACACATTATTTATTGAGTCGCTGTGTCAGTCCAGCTGTTCGTATCCTCATCTACTGACCCTCCACAAGGCAATGCCTCCCACACGCACACACACACAATTCTCCCTTCTTAAATTTCTTCCTCTTACTTCCCTCTCTCCTATCCCATCAGGTCTCCCCCCCACCCCCACCCCCACTGTGATTGCCTGATCGGGGGCTCGGTCTCTTCTCAATCTTGCAGAGAGCCATTGGACCGAGGAGGCAGACAGTGAAGAAATTGTGTGTCATGTTTTGCCATCTCAAGGTTACATAGTGACATTTCTCTTGCTATTTTGCTCTCTCTGACCATCACTCTGGACCGAGATGGAGGGAGGGGAGTTAAAAGGCCTCGACTCAGACCTCCTCGTCAAAGCCACACACGAGGTGCCCAAGGCTACATAGAGGCTGCTTTGTGCTTCAGTTTTCCCTTATTCTCCTGGGGAGCCACATTGACTGGACTGTAATATAGTCAGCATTAATCACCGTGCTGGTGCTGACAACTTGGTTGACTGTTGTGGGGAGGAGAGGGTTTGGATTGTAGATTTACGTCTCCCTTTTCTTTGGCTCCTTCCTGTGGGCTCGGATCCCTCTTAGCTGAGAGGGGCAGGGTGTGGGACACAAACATCTTCATGTTCATCTGATAAGGTTTGTGATTGGGGCCAGCCAGGTTACGTTGTTTAGCATGTGGTTTCTTCCACACATCACCCCCCCCCCTCCCTATTCCCAGTCAACAAACAAGTTCTACCATGCTTGCACACTACTGGTTCGAGCACAGGGTTCAACGGTACGGTAACAGCTATGGAGCTAGTTGCCTCAGCGACTGACAGGGTTCCCACTGCTGAATCCCAGTTCCTCGGAGGTGATTGTTGGAAATTGCTGAGGAACCTTGTAGAGTGAAGCACTGATGGATCTCTCTGTTGTGTCAAACAGCATGGGTTTGCTACCTGAGCCATGTGTCTGCAGCTTGTCCTCTATCAATCCTGAGACCTAACCTCTTGTGAAATGTCAAGAGCCACATGTTTTTGCCATACATGCCAGATAGATACATCCATTACAGTCCCGTCCTGAAATCAGTCAGCTGATGCATTGAAGACGAGGCCATGGACACAAAAGTGTATTTCGGACTCTCCCTCTCTCCCTTCCTCCTCGAATCTCTGGCGTCTCTTCCTCGTCTTACCTTCTTGCCGTATCCTCTCTACCTGCCCTCATTTCCCATTAACCTCCCATTTCTTTTTGGATATATTTGGCTAAGATGTTACATTCTTTGAATTTATTCTCTCCTATAAATTTTCTTTAAATTCAATTTGGGTCTTTCCTTCTTCCTTCCCACCCCCCTCATAACTCTTCTCTTCCCTTTGGCCATTAGACATACTTTAGGATTTTTAACTTAGTCGTAAATGTGATCTCAGTGTCAGAAGGTATGTTTAGCCTGAGCGGCCCATTCAGTAGGTAGAGGTGGCTGGATTTCAGGCAAGGAGACTTTCCCTGCCTCAATGGGAATCCCATAACCCTGATGGATTGTGAGATAAAGCAAGCTGAGGCCACATCAGTCAGTGAGGTACACTTTTCCTTGTTGCCATTGGAACGCCTCAGTTCCTTGCACTGAGGAGTGATGGGGGAAGATTGAAAGAGCTCTCCATCCAGGCACCACGTCTCCATGCTCCTCAACCCTCCGTTCCTCACAATAGTCATATTCTTGGCTTACCTTAAACCCTTCTATGTTCCTGTATCACTAGCAGAGGCGATAGGATTCGGTCCCCACCACCACTGCCTCGGTGGTGAATGCAGGCATCTCCAAAGAGTTTTTCTGACCTTATTTTACCTCAGTGGAACTCCCAAAATTCGGGTGCACTGTTCAGCCAATTGGTTTTGGGTTAAAAATGAGATGTGATTAAACTCGGGGATCTCAGTCCGTCAAGGTAAACTCGGTAAACTTAATTTTGAAGCAGTTTCTATGATATTCCCAATGTGAAGTGTCAGTGAGGTTTACAAAGGACTGTGTGTGGCTGTGGAGGTAACCCAGTGAAGTGGAGTGATGGTGATTGCTTTCTGATGCTTTCCAAGAGAGCCACGGTGGGGGGGGTCAGGGTTTGGGGGTCATCAGTACAGACCCATATCCGTCCTGCCACTCCTCGACACACAGCATGGGGCACTATTGCTCCCTCTCACTGGGTTTCTTCAACAGCCACACAGTGAGGGACCAGATGCTTCACCACAGAGAGGGGGGAATAGGAGAGAAGATAACGAGAGTGTCTGTCACTTTCATGCATCTAACCAGCGCCCTGCTCAGAGAAGAGAAGGCAGAAGGCCCTCTCCCAGGCCCAGCCATCATCGGCTCCCTTGCCCGGAAAGACAAAAGGAAAATGGAAATATATAAGTATATTAAAACATAAATGGATGGTGAAGGGGGGATCGGACAGATGGAGAAAAGAGGGGAAAGCAATGGATTTGTATCCTTGTGAACCCAAGAGAAATATTAAATATGAATTTGGAGTTTGGGGCTCATTCTCTGCGGTAACCATCCTCAAGTTTCGCCCACAAAATATACAGTCAATTCACTTCACAGTATATCCTGTCAAGCGCTTTGAGACGTCTCGACGTGATTAGACCCCATATCCAATGAAAGTATTATTATTATTATTGGGCAATTCAATGGAATTGGGCCAGCGAACCCTGGGCCGTCCCTCAGATTTGCCAGCTGGAATATGATCACGTGAGCTACGTGAACTTGTCGGTGGGAGTGAGTAGTTATGTTTTTTGTTGTTTTTCTTCTTGCTTGGTTGGGGCTGCTGTGAGAGAGAGTGTCTCTGAGGCAGTGTCTCCCACCTCGTTTCACTCGGACCGGCACACCGCCCTCTCAAACACTCTTCTGAGCGTGCTCAGCAGGAAGGTTTGTCCTTGCCTTTTAATGCTGTCGATGTCCAGCTATATTCTCCGCTAGTTAGCAGTTGCTTGGTTGCATGTCGCTTGTTCGAACCAAAGAAAATCCCACCACACGCTCACACGCACGTTTCTTCAACCAAAACTCAAACCGAAAGAACAGAAAATTTCATCCCTCCTCATAAGAATCCGTCTACATTTCAATTCATTATTTTTCACCATCTTTCCTTTGATTTTTCTCTTTACTTACTCGATATGAAACGCCTCTTTATTATCATAAAACATCCCCGACCAAAACATCCCTCTGCCTGTGTTCTTTTGTTACTTTGGATGTATCTGTGATGTAGAAAATGAGCTGCATGTCTCTGTGGTATTGTAAGTGGTAATTCCAGTGAATGTAAACTGTTGCCTCCTGACCAGACTTAGCCCACTAGCTATCTTGTCGTCCAACAGCTATTAGGCTAACTGAACCAATGATGCTTTATAAATGACCCCCTTCCCCCACCCTTCTCCCCTCCTCTCCCCCATCCCCGCCCTTGATTTCTTCCCACCCTGGCACTGGGATACGGCGGTATAGACTAGCCTATCCTGTATCCAGGCCAAGAGGATATCCTTCACGTAGGAGAGCCCGTACACTGACAGGCCGGGCAGCCCGTCCACACACACATGCTTGTTATACAAAAGATATTTGTATTGTTGGAGTTGCGGCACTGGCTGACATTTGGTTCATCGCTGGTTGGGAGGTACTGTGATTGATTGTAGCATTGCTGGCGAG